GAATCTAGCCTTCAACTAACTGCAATGCAGACCTTTGGGCTGGAGCCTGGGCTCTGAGCCCCTCCATGCTCCCCCCTCTGAGGGCTCCAGCCCAAGGCCGGCAGCCTGCGCTGCAAGCCATAGCCATGTGGCCAGAGCCCTGGGAACCAGAGGCAACTGATCTGGCCTCAGAGCCTGGCTGCTGCAGGGCATTTTATTGCAATGCCAATGGTCCCCGAGTCCAAGGCTGGGTGGGACCCTTGTGCTCACCTCCTGGGCTGTGTGTAACTGGTCAGAGCATGGCCCAGAACCAAGCCTGAGAGCAGCTGGGGTAGAAAAACCTCCACTGTCAGGGAGGGAGACTACAGCAGGACCCCTCCGCCCAGAGAGCCTTGTTCTTCCTCGGGCGTTGGGTTCCAGGGGGCAGACCAGAGGAGCAGGGTCCTGTTTGGTTTGTTCCCATGCCCATAGCACCCCTCTCCTCCCCCATCTTTTGAACTGGGCCAGTGCTATATGACCCCCCCCCACACACACACACACACACGGGCAAAGTGGCCTGGGTAGGGCTAAGGGGGAGGCTGGAAACTAGCTCCAATGCACTTCAAAACAGCCTGTTTCCATTCAAAGCTTCATGTGCCAGCCCAGCTCCCTGGGCTGCAACTACCCGCATGCAGAGCCTCTGAGACTGTCTAGTGTTGGGAGGAAGCAAACTTTTTGGCCTGAGGGCCAGATCTGGGAATAGAAATTGTATGGTGGGCTATGAATGCTCATGAAGTTGGGGTTGGTGTGCAGGCTCCAGCGTCAGACCAGAAATTAGGAGTTGAGGGGGCTCTGGGCTGGGAAGGGGTGCAGGGCTGGGTGAGGGCTCTGGCTGGGGGCGTGGGCTCTGGGGATGAGGGATTTGGGGTATAGGAGGGTGTGCTGAGCTGGGGGTGGGAGAAGGATCAGGGTTGGGGCATGGAGGGTGAGGGCTCTGGCTGGGGGGTGCAGGAGGTGCTCTGGGCTGGGACTGAGTAGCGCAGAGGATAATCAGAGCTGCAGGTGGCACTTACGTCAAGCAGCTCCTGGAAGCAGTGGCACGTTCCCCTCTCCGGCTCCTACGTGGAGGCACAGCCAGGCAGCTCTGCTCCGTGCTCACCCATCTGACTCTGCAGGTGCTACCCCTGCAGCTCCCATTGGTTCTATGAGCAGAACAGAGCCCCCTGGCTGCCCCTATGCATAGGAGCTGGAGGGGGATAGGCCACTGCTTCTGGGAGCCACACGGAGCAGCCCCCAACCTTGCTCCCCGCCTGGAGTGGGGCAAGCCCCAGACCCCACTCCCCACCCCTGCTTGAGTGTGACCTGCTGCACCGTGATCCCACTCCTGTAACAGTCCCCTAACCTCTGGCTGAGTTACTGACAGCTCAGCACATCGTGTAAAGACTTCAAGTTACAGAGAAGCCACACGTTAAACCGGAGCGTGTGGGGCCAGGCTCGGTGAAGTGCAATCTTTATTGATATGATACAGAACGCACCAGCCAGGCACGGAGCTGGCACTTAGTCACGGGGAGGGGGGCTCGGAGTGCAAAAAGTGCTTCTCGACCTTGTGCGCCAACGGGAGGGCGGGAATTGAACCCCTCTCCTGCGGCTCTGCAAGCAGCGCTGTCCTAGCGCAGGGCCGGGGGGGTCCAGCCAGCTGTTTCCACTAGCTGCAGCGTGCAGGAGAAAGTCTGTGCGAAAACCCTAGTGCCCAGCGTGGTGTTATAGTGCCCCCTAGTGGCCTACACTGGCCACACCATGGCTCACCGCCCCAGCAGGCTTCAAGGGCATGGCTGCCTGGCACAGCAGGTGCTGGGGCCAGCTGGTGCTGGCCTGGGTGGATCGTGTCTGCACATCCTTGCTGGTTACACTCCCCGCTCTGGCTGTGTGACTTCTTGCTGTATAACGGACAGCAGCAAAGCCCCCGCCTGTCTCTAACCATCCCCAGGCTGGTAGGAGAAGGGGCTCCCCCCTGATCCGCAGTCTCACAGGGGCTGGGCCCAGCAGCATGGCCATGGGCACGTAGGCCGTAGAGCACAGGGGCAAGGGAAGGGAGATAAAAGGCACCTACTGCCCCTGGAAGCTGATAGGAAACTGTGGATTGTGCCTTTGCCAGGCAGAGCCCAGAGCCTGCTCGCATGAGGGTAAAGAGCCAGGCTGCTACAGGCAGCACCCGGCTGGGTGGGGACTGACAAAGCGTGAGGTGCAGGCTGGCACCGGGCCGCTGCTTCAGGGATTTTAAACACAGCCACAGCCTCCCCCTGGAGAGCGGGAGGTTCCTGGCGCTTGTGTAGCCTGGTGGCTGATACCACCCCCCCAGTTTCACACCCACTGCCTGGCCATAGTGCTCCCCTCCCCGCTGTCTGAGCTGGCTCTGGCCCACCGCTGACCTGCATTCCCTCAGCAGGAAGCTGCAGCCACTTCTCCAGCACCACTGAGCCAGATAACAGCACCCAGCCTCTCCTGCCTAGAGCCGAGGTCCCTCCTCTGCCCTGGCTTGGCTCCTGTCCCTACAGGCCCTGCACCCTGCTTTCACCCCTACCTGCTGGGGTCAGACCAGAAGCGCAGTGGCAGGGGAAGAAATAACCTTATCAGCCCAATACAGCATGGGCCCCAGCCTGATCCAGCCCTGAGCCCCTCTTCAGCGCCAGGAGCTGGTACCAGAGCAGAGGAGCTGGGCCTTGTCCCCTTAGGGCAGGTGAGGTGCAGCATGTAACAGGCCAGGCTGGGAAGTTTTAGTCACATAGCTTCAGCACCGCGGGCTGCTCCCCACGCCCCTCGGGGTGTCTCTCCGAGAGAAGGGCAGCTCCAGGCCAAGCACCCGGCTAGGAACCAGCCCCTGCGCGAGAGACGGCAACAGCAGCAAAGCAGCGGGGGGAGGTGAGGGGGGCAGATGGCCCTAGAGGGCAGAGGCAGGTTCTGTTCCTCCCCTTGGGGAAGCGTCACGCTGCAGAGGACCTACGGGCTGGCTGCCGGCTCCAGCCGCTCCGGCAGGGCAGGTGCTCCCCCGCGGCTCCTTAGGCGGGCGGCTTGCGGAAGACGCCCCAGGCGTGGAAGCAGCGGGTGAAGGGATGGGGCTCGTTGCCTTTCCGCACCAGACGCAGCTTCCGGGGGTGCTCGGCCGCCTTCGAGCGCATGTGCTGGATGTACACCTGAAAGGAGGGGAAGGGGTGGCCTCAGGCACTGGACCCCGCAAGGCCAGATCCTGCTCCGTTCCTATTGCACAAACCAGGAGGAGGCCCCATGGAGCCAGGGCTGCTGTGCTCCCAGCCAGGGGCTTTGGAACCTCAAAGCAGGCCTTCCGCTGCGCCCGCAGGGGCTGAGCTCTGTCCCCAGGGGACTGGTGGAGGCACAGCCCCGTGCCGCAGGCCCCAGCGGGTGTCAGGGCCGAGCTAGTGCCAGATGCTACAGCATCTCAAGGGGAAGGGGCCAAGCTGCTGGACCCACCCCCCAGGAACCATGTGCCAGGGCAGTAGACTCCCTCCACCCCCAGGGGCCTGTCAGAGGCTGGAGGAGTGTCTCCCTCCACAGCAGCTTTCAGTCAGTCAGAACCAGGGAAGCTTCTCGAGATGCCCTTACCTGGCAAGCTTTCAAGCTCAGCTTGATTTCCACCTGGCTTGTCTGGGTTCCCACCCACATGTAAACCTGCAGGGAACAGCAGAGACAGCAGGGTTAAGGCGGCGCTGGTCAGAGCGCGAGACGGGAAGAGCAGATCTGCTGCAGCCCACCCAGGCCTGGCTCATCCCCTGCCGCACATGGGCAGGGCCTCACGCGGCATCGAACCCCCACTAGAAGTGGGAGGATCTGGGCCCAGGAAGGTCCTGGGGGAGAGACTGGGTTCTCTGGGGTTGCAGCGAGAGGTTCCCTACAAGGGAGCCTAAACCCGGCTGCAGGATGCAGAAGAGTTACCGAGGACAATCACGTGGCTACAGCCCACTCCGCACCGGGGGCGCCAGGCCCTGGGAACTCACCTCCCGGCCGTTGTCCAGCAGCATGATGTCGTCGTCCGCCAGGTCATCCTGGCAGAAATCGGAGCACTTCTCCGACACGGAGAAATAGCCC